TTCTTTCCTAGTTTACTTGTAAGTTTCAAGGAGGGGCTGCAGCTCGCGCCTCTCGTTGGGATGATGTATGAACTCACTCTAATTTGTTTATGAATCAATAAACTTATTATTATTCATCAAAAAAAAACCATGAGGATATGCTGTCCAAGAGGGACTGGACAAGATGTGAAAGCACAAGAAGGCTATTTAGGTTGAAGTGGTCTTCCCATGCATGGTTTGGTTGATTTAAGTGAAGTGCTGAAAATTGAGTTGAAACAGTGTCAACCTGATTACTCAGTGATCAGCCATCATGCAAACTTGGTACACTGTTGGTTGTTTATGTACAAGCTACTGTGAATTGTAAAACTGAAATTATTTCTTCAACATCACTTTCACAAAAAAGACTTGTTTACTAAGGGCCTGAACCGAGGAAGAGTAGATTACATATGCAGCATACTGGGACTATATAATATATATTCTCCAGCTTGAGGGGGAATTTTATGAGCCAACTTATAGAGGCCCATTTTAGTCTTTTTCTCTTTTACTATTGAGTATAATGTCTTTTTTGTTTGTTGTTAAGTTGTGTAGCCCATACATAATTAGGGACACTTTAGTATTTGCACCCAACTTTAGTAAATCTATAAATAAGGGTCAGTTGGGCTAGAGTTGATTTGATTTTCTGTCTAGCCGACTTCTTTTTCTCCTCTCCTTGCTCCTCTTCATGCACTTCTTTTCTTATTGATAAACCTAACACTACAAATCCTCTACCAAGTCTGAACCACAATTTCAACATTTATTAAATATGTAAAATGATACACTTTTTTTATTAGTAACAACTCAATTCTATATGTTAAAAGAATAGCATATACTTACCCTCCTTGGGGAGTTGGGACTTGGAAGCCATAACAGCTGATATGCTGTTTTTTCATGATTGCTGCACATGATACATTGACACACTAAACAAGCTTCCTTGCCATGCCAAAGGCATCAGCCAAACTATTAGTTGACCTTTGTATCCAATTGTAGGCTGTCCTCAATGCTATAGCCAATTGCTTTATCTCCCTCATGACATATTAACATTTCCAAGAGCCCCATACTGTAGTCCATGAGCCAGGAAACAATTACACAAAAATCCCCTACCACCGCTAGATTCCTGTAATTTAGGATTTGGATTTGACCAATCTCAATCCATGTAAAGCTGCCATTTTCTATGGACAAAGGGTCCAAAATATAAGACCAATATATCTCCATTAGCATTTCTAAATACTTGTATACCTGAGGTTCCTGGATTTCACAAACTACAATCATCAAAGTTAAACTTGATGGTATAGGAGGCCAAAGAGGACCAAGGAATGTTCATTCAATCCCCCCCCAACTGAACTAATGTTCACTGTGATGCCAACGGTCTAGCCTCTCTTCTGATATAGTAATGTAGTGACCTGATGGCCCTCAGATCCATCTACTGCCCAACCAATAATCACCTAGAAATCCACCACAACTCCAAGTTCAAACCATGATAAGTCACCAGAATAAGACAAGTATCATGATCTCACATACTGTCATCTAAAAGGTTTCCCCATTCCAATAGTCACTAGTTTCTCAAGGCAAGAACCCTTAAAGTTGAGCTTGGTCATTCCTGAGGGAGAGAAAGTCCAGCTCTAAGCAAAAGCCTGGCCTTGAAGTGACACAATATTATATAATGCAAATTGCATTTCTTAGTAATCAGTACAGTTAAGAACAGTGTAAAGTATAAAACAGAAAAGAAAAGAGCAGGAACACATTGTGTATTATTACTAGCTAGTAACATGGAGCCAGAGGCCCTTTAATTTTGAGTTTCATTTTCAAGAGGAAAATGGTTAAGAACTTACTTGAGTCAAATTGTTGACTTGGATGTTGAACCTTTGACTTATTTCATTTATGTCTTTCTTTGGAACTGCCTTGCCTGAAATTAAAAGAGCACATGATAAATATTGAATACCTACTTTTTGATTTAATATGCTTCCTTTATCGATGTCAAGATCTAAGGAGGAAAAAAAGAGAAAAGCTGAACAATTTTTATAGAAACACAAATAAATCAGGCTATAGAAGCATACCCAGTTCCAAGTTAACCAGAAATGGTAATATATCAAACCTTATGGCTGAATTTATCTGCCTCCATTTATAGGTAACTGATCAAAGAATTTTATTACGAAAAACACTAATTAAGTTGGTTACAGATAACTATGTCACACTTCTTATGTTAAGAAGGAAGAAAATGCTAAAACATTAATTAAATTGGTTCCAGATAATTATGTCACACTTCACTTAGTATTAGAGTAGATTTGAATTTGGAGGCAAAATTGGAATTGAAAATTCCACAAATTACTGAATAATATAGTTTGAGTTTCTTTTTGGTTGTGCAGTATTTTGGCTTCAAAATCCATGTTTTAAAATGTTTGAGAACTATCATTTTAGGAGACCAAGAGTCTTTTCCCAAATTTTATAGATTTCTTGCTCAAGCATTTAGCAACATGTATTAATTATCAAAAAAAAAAAAAAAAATCAGCAACATGTATTAGTCTAGCTGTTAATCCAGGCCACCAAACCACTCCAACGAGTCTGGATCTGCTATGACCCCAAAACTATGGTCATTGCAGTATAGTGTATACCCAATGACCATCAGCCACTTGTCCTCTCTTTCACGAGAAGTGTTTCCTTGTGTGAAGATTAGTTGAGTACCTCTATCCTCCATTAAGACTTTTTTTCCTCAAAATAATTGAAAATAGCCACACCCTAACCCATTTGCTAACCCAGTTCCATAAAACCCCCTCTTGCAGAATCCTCTCTTCTCTCTCAAAGAAAAACCCTCTCATTCACATTCAACTTCCTTTTCTCCCCCTCTTGCAGAGTCCTTTCTTCCCTATCTTTTCTCTCAAAGAACCCCCTCACCCACATTTACTTTTGTGATTAATTGCCCATATTAGCACTAATGCATTTGGACAGAGAGGCATCTCCTTCAACCTCCAGTCACATGCCAATGAAACCCTGAGGATTGAACTGGCAACTGCTAATGGCATTTTGGCTAGCCATCATCTACATATTCTGAGGAGATATGTTTATTCCTTTTTTCCCTTTAGGGCTCAAAGCCTCAAACCAGTGATAGCCACAAGTGGGATTGTAACTTAAAAGAAGGCTTCAGCCATTCATCACACCAGTCCATTAACCACTGTAGAGAATGTAATTTTGTGGAAAACAACGGGAACTAGGTTACAATAAATACAAATAAACTAAGTTCTATAAAAGATGAAAATTTAAGAAGGCCGAGTTCAAAACTAAACCAGAGAATCATTACAGATACCATGAGCTATGTTACATTACGTCAGAATTCTTTTTTTTCAATAGTCAATATTGTCAGAACTCTAGATGCATAGCACAGAGATACAAACAAACTATCTTTTCTGTGGAGAAACCCATTTTTCATTCTTCCACTCCTGACAAAGCCTCGGCAGAGAAAATGGATATCCAATCTCATTTCCAGTGGTATCCAAATACAAAAAGAAGCTTTGAAAGACTCAGAGGTGGCCCATTTTGTGAGGTTTTGCAGTGGAGCTTTATGGAATGACTCTAGCTGAAAACATTTGATAACTGAGAGAGAGAAGAGAAAAGAAGAGAAGAAAAGAGAGAAGAGAGGGAAGGGTCCGCAAGAGTGAAGACTAACGGAGGATACAGGCATTGCTAGTCTTCACTCAAGGAGACGCTTCACATAAAAGAGAGAAGTTCGGCTTCGGTCAGTGCAACACCCATTCGAACAGCCTTTACAGCCTTGCATTGGGAATATCTCCATACTTATGTGCTTTATTTCATGGGGAGATATTCCCAATGCAAGGTTGCAAGAGGCTGTTCGAACGGTGTGAGCACGGGCTAGCACTGACCGAAGCCGAACTCAAAAGAGAGTGCAAGTGGCTGGTGGTCATTGGGTACATTGCAATTATTACTCCATTCCAACATTGAAATAACAGCCCCTAGCAGTTCCTTCATATTTGATGCAAAATATGTACTTAAATGGTCTTAGATACATGGGATTCTATTTTGCACATTGACAAGGATTTAAAACTTAGTTTCAAGTAGTGATGCTTTGTCCGAAGTCAAAATGAAAATTTAAGAAAATAAAACTTGAAAAAAAAACATTGTTTTACATGCAAATCAAGCATGCCATAACAAGAATTGGATGCACGGAGAAATACTGTGAAAAATGGGCATGGAATTTCCCATATGACACAGGAAAACAGATATAACTTCTAATGTCCAGGCTTTCAGCCTATGTGCACCGTAGTTGGTGTTCTGAGCCAGTTGCTGATACTCTTGAGCCTTAGCAGTAGTTCCATTAATATAAGAAAACGGCTCCAGTTGCATGACATTAGCTTAAGTCAGATGACCAAAGCATGAAAGAGCAGTAACAAAGCCTAATTTATGAAATTTACTTGAAAAAAAAGGGAAAAACAATAAAACAAATAAGTGAATAACAACAATCTTAATAGGCGGAAAAAAAAAGATGAGTAGAAATCATGCCATTCAACAGCCACTCAGATTTGTTGCGTATATCTATTTTCCTTGTAATAACGATCTGCTCCTCTATAGTGTCGCCCCTCAATGAAATCTTAATATAACCAGACTCCTCTCCACGCTTCACAAAAGCTCCAATACTAGAAGCCCTTCCAAGAAGCTGCACAGAAGTAAAACACTCCACTTGATCATAGTATTAAAAATAATTAATTTTTATTACATACAGGAGGGCCGGCATTTCAACCTGAGGCTCACCACCAAGGCCGAGAGAAATAGCGCAAACGAGCGAACTTTTCCCCGATCCATTTGGTCCAACTACAACGTTTAGACGTGAATGGGGCTTGCATTTCAAGTGATCAAAGGTCATGAAATTATTCAGTTCAATCTCGATTATGTTTCCGGGCAAGTAATCATCCTCACCTCTGAAAATCCACTAAAAATTAGTTCTTTTTGGGAAAAAAAAGAGCATATTTTTCGAGAAAATTTCACCAACAAAAAGAGATAAACTGCAAAATAGCTAAAGACAGCGTGCAGAAACGTGACGTTAAACTGCACAGTGAGGCTGTAACACTGAACAAACGGAGTGAGAAAGGGCATGGATGGAGAAAGGACACGAATACCTTGTAAGCTTGATGCGTTTAGCAGAACGTTCGGCCATTGCTTAGGGCATATGGTTCCTATGGTATTTGGCAACGCAGAGCCATCGTCTTCAAAACCCTAGTTGATTGTGCAGTTAGGGCTTCCGCAGTACCAAAAATGCTTGGAGGGGGGGTGAGGATTGGCGCCAAATCTGAAAGCGGGAACGTGGAACCGGACTCCTATTCAGATAGGGACCCTAGTCCCTATTCGATAGGTTTAAGCATGTTGGTCCGACCGACACCCAACAGGCCGAACCGAGAGAGAAATGTTACAAACAGCCAAGCCTTAAACCGGATGACCCATTGAGTCTAAATGCCTAATCGTTTTCCATTTGTGGATGGGTCATCGATTCAACCGTCCAGGTTAATGGTCAACCCATGCCGTGACTGACAGGAATACAAAAAAGTTAAAAACCGGATGACTCATTGAATGAGTTACATAAATCATCGGTTCAACCGTCGGGTTAGACGTGCCGTTGCCATTATGGCGGGTTAAAGGATGACCGGTACCAAAATTGTGACCGGTTGAACTTGTGAGCTCAAAAATCCTTCGAGAAGCAAGACGAAAATGCTTCTACTCTCCGAGTTAACTCTCGATCTCGAATTCTCGATGGAGAAGAAGTAGGACATGACGATGAAGAGGTCTTCCCACTGGTTCTGTACACCTCTCCTTCTCTGTTATTCTATCCAGCAATATTTGTGTTATATTATAGTTCTTATCGGGAGGTTCTTTGATGCAGTAGGGTCGAAGATGTATGAGTGGAGTAGTTCAGAATGTTGGGTTTTTCTTCTGATCATCTCGAGTAAAGAGATTTCTTTTATTCTTTACGTAATTTTTTGGGTGCTGTTTTTGGGTTTCTTTTTTCTCTTATACATTTTTCTTCTTAAAAGAAAAACTGGTTTCGAGTCTATTGCTGCAGAGCGGTTATTGGGTTTCTGAAGACTGAAATAGCTATATATAACCTAGATGGTTTTCCCTTCCCTCTTTTATTTTGTTTATTTGCATGATTGAAGGTGATTTTTGCTTGACATGACCGATGGTGGTTTTATCTCTTTCCATTTAATTTGCATTCTCACGTTTAGTTGGTGGTATTAAAAATTTTATTTTTTTTCCTATAATAGATATACTACCTGTCCAGTGAAATTTTCAGTGCAAGTTATGCCAATCTGTCTGTTAATGACAAATGATCTTAGTCTATATTTCGATGGCCTTTGAGTTTGAGCATAAGATGCTGCGAGAATCAGTTTACAGAGTAACCAAGTATCTGATATATTTTGCATATCAGGTTCAATCAGACGTCTGATATATTTTTGTTAATTAGTTCTGCATGCACGTTCTTACATTTGCAGTTGATGTATGCTCGTTTACCTTTGTTCCATTCTCGCATGATGATGAAACATTTTACTATATATTGAATCATGCAGATTAGATGCGTGAGGCATGGATCTTAGGATTAAGGGCGTCTACTAATCGTTGACTAAATTTGATGGAAGTTAACCCACAGAAATTTCAACTGGATTTCTTTTCCTGGACAGGAGGTTATACAAGACAAAGGTCCAAGAAACACCTCTCATTTCTTTGATTCTGCTGGATATGAAGTAAGAAAACTATGATTTGAACAAATCAGTTGGGGGTTGAGGAGGGTCCTCCAGGAGCTTTCAGTCAATGTTTATAGATGTAAAGATTATGGGGTTGCTAAATGGTGGTTTCATTAATGTTCAAGTAGTGTGGACTTAAAATGAGGGATTAGGGAAAGCTAAAAGGAAAAGATTACAAATTCTAGGGTTTAAACTGGAAGAAAGAAACATCTAAGGGAATAAGATAAAGGACTAATAAGGCTACGCAAAGAAGAGTTGACAACCAGAGGTATTTCACCTCTTGAGCTAGAACATCTTCTATCCTAAAATTTCCTAAATAGAGTCTGACCACTAATTGATTGAGAATAGGGTAATGCCAAGAGAGGTAGCTATGAGAAAAACATTTATCCAATTCAGTATTCTCTTGGTATGTGTTTGGTTCCATTTATGTTTACTGAGTAAACGCTGCCACATAGGCGCCCCACCAGTAAAGGCCTCATTATGCACATCCGTACGTATTGATGTTTGCAAAAAGCAAACATCGATTGCTGTGCGCCTCTCCCGTTTCAGGAAGCTTCATTTTGGAGCTTCCCCCAACGGTAGGCGTTTATTGGCACCTTTGCTGATGTGGTGCCTTATGGCGCCTATGTGTCATAAACGCCCTCATTAATTGTTTTTCTCGGTTTTGCAGCCACACAAGTACAAAATGTTTACTCAATAAACGTAAATGGAACCAAACACAAACTTGATTGCAGGAGTTCAACTTTCATTTATAGATGTAAGGTTCAACCTTCAAGTAAACACTAAAAGTTTTGTAATTTTCTTATACAAAACAAAACAGAAACTGAATCTCAAATAACATCTGAATAAAACTATTCCAAATAATATAGAACAGCACTTAGGATAATTGATTTTAGTGATAATCATCCCAAATGATGTTTTATTAATTGAGCAAAACTAATCTAAACAACAAGAAACAGCACTAGGTTAACTGATTTTAGTGATAACCATCACAAATATTTATTAATTGGATAACATTTTAAAGGTAACAAATCAAGGATTTTGGGTTTATTTTGACATAAAAAATGAGGCCACAATTAAAACTATGGACTTAATAGACTATAGCTGTACCATTGAGCAACAATAAACAATCAAAAGACTTAAGTTTACTAATTACTAAAAGTATTTGATGATGAGCCTTGCACTATTGTGGTTATGACCTCAGTATTTTTCTTTTGTTTAATGGGTATTCTACAACAATTTGTTAAGGAAGCTTTCATCACAAATTGATTCATGTCAATGCTTTTTTGAAACTTTCAAATCATTTTAGGTTTCATCTCTATACTGTTCTCTCTTTTAATCTGTTGTGTCCCTTATTTAATATGTTTTTTGTATGCAAGTAAAGATTGCAAATTGAGTTATGCAAAATCTTTTAACTGTTGTGTTGCTACATTTATATTTAATTTTGCTGTCTGGGTGGTTGAAAGTTTGGAAGAAACAAGAGAGGGGGAGAATGAATTCATCAAGTGCCTCTGGAATTTGGCAGGGGAGATGGAGGTTGAGGCTTTTAGGCACCTCTTCCCGCTTTCGTTTCTATGAATATCATCTCCTTGAATCCGTACACCCTGATGCCAGGCCACTTGGAAGAGCTAGAGATACCACTGTGGCTCTTGGTTTGTTAAAAATTATTTTACTGTTTTCAGTTATTTAGAAAATATTTTTTTAATTATTGATGTTCATGTTTCTAGTTACAACTTTTTCTTTCATTCCAGGGGTTGTAGAAGCTGCTGATGGGTCAGCAATGGCAATGATTGATTGCACAGTAAGCGCCTTCCTTTTTTTTCTTTGTTTCTTTTCTTCTTCATATATTCTATCCCATTTTTTTCCTCACTCCCCCGCCATGCCCAAAATTCCTTCATATATTATTGTAAGGTAACAATGTCTTTGGTATTATGATATTTTCTAAATTTTATTTTATGCATAGACCATGTTGGCTGCTATCAAGATGGAAGTCATGACTCCTCTATCAGATTCACCAGATGAGTGATCCATAGGTTGATTCTATCCAATATATGGGCACTTTTCTCTTATTCTTTAGGCTCAGTTTGGAAAGAGTACAAATGCAAATATGTACAGCATAAATACATACAAAATAATACAAAATATAAGGTTTTGCACTCTACATATTTGCATTTGTACTCCTTCCAAACTCAGCCTTAGCAATGGCTAAACTATTTGTTCACCAATTGTTAGGCCTGGAAGGCCAGCTGAGGTAGCACCACTTGTTGGTGCCAACACATGCAAGGTGTGAAAGAGAGATGGGTCCTACACTTCTACTGTATCACTCTTCTTTCTTTATTTTCTTTATCTTTTCTTTACCCCAGGGGAATTTCTTTAATCATAAATATCTAGCCATGATGGTGGGAGTTGATTCTTTGAAGACACCCCTTTAATCTTGTGTTTATGGTTCTAATTTGTGGGCTAGGGGGTAATATGGTATCTAAGCATTGAACAAGGATAAATGGGATTTCAATTTAGTGTCATTAATGGATTTCTGATGAAGTTTTATGTTTCAAGTTTATAGACCTGTATGAAGAAGAATCTCATGTGATTCAAAGAAGAGCTTCACAGGTTAGATTCAGTAGCAGTATTTCATGCATTGAACAATTTCTGATAATCTAATTATAAAATGAAAAAGTTCTGATAATCTGATGTATAAAAACTTTATTGTTTTGTTGGTCACATTTTAGGGACTATTTTCTCAGTCATGAACATCCACATTTTTTATTTGAAGAAAAACAGTAAATGAACTAACATAAATTTACATTTAATAAATGATCGAAGGCTCTTTTCATATGGGAGAAATTCATTATTCATATTGATTAGAATGCCCAAGTAAATTTCTAGGTGATCAAGGTGTAAGTGGAAGAAACTATACTAGCCAGTTGTTAGGACTCAAAAGTCCAGACCAACCTATCAGAGTATCAGGTAGAATGATATCAAGATTTCAAATTTCATTGAAATTTTCAAAATATCAAAGGCTTTACATCACATTCCATTTTGAGTTTCCACCAAAATGAAAGAATTCTTACATTTATTGATTTAAGTTAAATAGGAAAGGTTTTCAAAGATTTATGTAAAGGAGAAGAACTATGATGTAGTATATGCATGAGAGATAAAGGAGAGTTGTGCCAGGTTGGCAGCCAAGTGACCTCAGACTAAAGGGCTTCTATTTCAGCCAAGCGACCTCTAAGCCCTCAGACTAGAGGGTTTCTACTTCAGACAAGTGAGAGTAATGAACCCAACTCCCAGAAAAAGTGCCAACTTCAGACACGTGGCTACCCATCAAAAGAACAAAATCACTTCAGAAGATGTGGGACCATTTTATTCTTTCTAATAAACTACAAACAAAACCTGATTTAATCTTTTAAATCAAATAAAAAACTCTATCTAACAAAAATTTAAAAAAAAAATCAAATAAAAAACCTAACTTAATTCAAAACAAAAAAACCGAAATAGTTCAGTTTAGTGGCCCCATACATAGTACAGAGGTCATTATCTAGTCAAATATGAATTGATAGATAAAATACAAAACTAACAAGATAATTTGATTAAACAATTTTCTTTTCTTCCAATTCGTTCATAATCTTAAAAAATGGTGTAGTCTCGAGGGAGGTTGAGACCCATTCAAAAACCAAAATTCAATAACATGGATGAAATAGACAAAGGAATATCTGTAATTCTGTTAACAGTCCATTAAGGGAAGTGAGATATCAGACAAGCCATAGTGCATGTGCCAAGTCTAAGGTGAAGGAAGTCAGCAGCCAGCTGATTAGCTTGAATAGAGAGTTGATTGAGTTAAGATGAACCTGAGTGTCAATATTGTATGTCTATTTGTACTCTAGGCAAGATTTCTCATCTATTGATCTTTTAATTACTCAAGTGTTTATATTGGTCTTATTGGATAGTCAATATACATATGGTGGCTTACCAGTTTCCTTTGGTTTCTTTGCTAGATGTAATGTTTTGCTCTGACTAGTTACCTGTTGCAGTTCTGCAATGATCAATTTAAAGGAACTATCTTTAATCAGCGGAAAGGCGGTGTAGATGGCATACTTGGTAATGGGTTCTAAATTTCTAATATGTGGATTCTTCAATTATACTTACAGAAATCTATATGGCATTCCTTAACTATATTTTTGCATTTGAGCTGATCTTTCTCTTCTAATCGTAATATGCCAATTTTCTAATCATTCTTAAAACACCTACTTTTAGTTTATTTCCGATGTTTATGGCTACTGAAAAACTGATATTATTAAAACCTAGCAAAGGAGATCTTGAAATATCATCATCAGTTTTGTCTCCTTTATTTTGGATGACAGTGAGACATGCTTTTGTGTCTTGTAGGACATATACTGTCTGGATGCAGATGGCGTTCTTTTTAATGCAGCATTACTTTCTGCAGTTTCTGCCTTCTCTCATTCTAAGATATTCTTTTTATTCTTTCCTTCATTCTATGTGCAAGCTTCAACTTGATTGGACTTAAGATTTCTTGTGCCTGTTAACTGAGTTCTGGTTTTGCACCTAAATATGTTTTCATAAGAGCCTTCATAAGTTTCCTGGTCCATTGAGTGCGATACAGGCTTCATTTATTAGTCTGACATGTATGATTTTATTCGATGCATCAGCTGCTTCTTTTAGGCAAACAAGTGACTTGAAATCCTGGCTCACTGACAGATAAGAAATAAACTACCACAAAGCTGACCTGTATGATGCCACTTGAGCCACTTTATTCTGTCATTTAGTTCACGTGAATATTTGTTGCTAAGATCAATTAGTAAAATTCTAAAACCTTCCAACTTATATTTTGGATCAGTTTGCTACCTTATTTTGTTGCTGTGTGCAGAGAGGCACATCTAAGTTGAATTGATTCAAGTGAACATTGCTTGATCGCTATAATACAAGGAACTAGGTAGACCTTTTACAGCTTTAAAAGAATCTTTCATGGTCAACAGCTATCATGCTGAACGGAACCATTAGAGTTGTGGCTTGTCTATCCTATTAAACACCCCCATCTGTTTGATTTAACGAGAATATGTCCCTTTCCAATCTGTTGGGCAATTCGGAAGGGAAACAATGGGATAGTTGGGAGAGGCTCTTAGTGTGTCTTTTTGTGTGGATGTTGGTAGCTTATTGATGAATTGGGCTTTGGTGCTTGGTGAATCCAAGAAATTCAAAAGGACTTTGTTTATAAGCTGTATATTCATCAGATGTAGAGGGTTGTATATTATGAAACTTTTGCTAGGCTTCAGCTTTTTTGTACATCTTCTCTTGTTATCCTTGATAAACTTTTTGATTACTCATAAAAGAAAAAGATGTAATGAGAGTGGTATCTGGCATGCATCTAAGTTGTGGAAATCTCTTTCTCAACACATGGGTAGAAAGACTTATGAGAATATTATCTGGCCTTATCTACATTATAGACAGCTCTTTTGGAACATGTGCAGAAGGCACCTATGCAAGCGCAATAATTAGAATTTTGCAGGAGGGATAGAGATCATGTGTAACTATGAGGCAGTGGAATGTAAATTTTAGTTTAGGTTATTCCACCAATTGTGACCTTGTCATGTATCTTAAATATATTCAGATAATAAATTTGTTAAATCTTTTAATTTTCCTACCAAGTTGTATTAATTATTGTATTTTTCATTTTGACTTGCAGTGCAAACTCTGGCTGTTTCTCTCAATGATGATGGAAGAGTTGGAATTCTGTCAGGGGATTCTAAAGAAGTTAAAAGATTCTGTCAACAAAGAGAAGAGGAAGCTTACCTTGAGTTGGAATTGCATTGCCTTCTCATTTACCTGCATTATTTACTAGAAATGCATATTGACAGATCCTACTGCAGAGGAAGAGTCCACTATGGAAACTCTCATCACCGTGTTATTGGATTCGTCCAGTCAGCTTGTGTCCTTGTATAAGCCAGGTGGATCAATTCTTCCTCATACGGCAGCTGTTCAGGTTTGTTGGTACCTTGCTCCAAAATCCAACTTTAATGGTATTAATACCTAAAACTCAAAAAGGTTCATTTAGTTGAAGAACTTCAAGTGAGTTACCATATTAAATGTTCTTGAAGGTTCCAACACCATGAACCCCTCAATCTTGTTTGACTATGATAACATAGAGCTTGCTTTGCGGTATTCCTGTTTTAGGTTGAAATGCTGCCACACCAGTGCCACAAGAAGTTTGATTTTAACATTCAAAGAACATATTTGATAGAGCAGACTAAACTTGAAATGAGAACACCACATTTTGCATTGGTTTTCATACATAGAGGGTGTTGGGAAGAAACATTAAAATGTTCTTGAATCTGCAGGGTGCACCTACTTCATTTGTCCTATGTGGTACCTAATGGCACCTATGTATTTGGCACAATAATAAACTGTTGCACTTCATGTTTTGTCCCCAAAACTTCTTTCTCTGTTCCCATTGAGCTTGAAACACTGATTCAAACTGAATTTTCTTAGCTTGAAAGTTGAAACACCACTTTACCAAGCACCATCATAATAATACATAATACATTGTTTGTCACAACACTCATTGCAGTATCTGGATAAAAAGTGATATTGTTAGCAATTTTTGGTATCCATATTAGAACACCATTAACTTCTGGGGGACCAGATAAATGGAAAATAGGGTCACTTGAAGTAATGTGAAGAATCCTGCTAGTATCATACTCATGCAAACTATATGGTGATTGCTAATGACTGTTATTTCATTACTGATCAAAAAAATGGCTGTTATTTCATTGTAGGATTGTATTGCACTTACAAGGCAGAGAATAAGGAACTTCAGAAGATTCTAAATGAAGCAGTTTCTGAAATGAAGTTGAATAGGTCAAATACTAATTTAGTGGGTTGGGTTGACAGATTTTCGCAGTTGACTGGAAACAGTTTTGTTTCTAAATGATACATCATCTTATTTTAGTGAATGGTGGTGGAATGGAAGTCACTAACATAGTTTAGCATCATGAACAAACTCTGTTGTTATGTGCTTATGTTCATATGGTGGAATCTGATGGTCATATGATGCCACGGTGCAATTTGATTATCACAAAACGGGTTGGGCAATGCAATGGAGTCAATTTACAGTCTTAGCTTGTAAGTAACCGTTAGTTCATAGAATCCTTAGGAGTTAGGCCTATATAAAGATGTGACCCACAATCAAGCCAGGTTATTAGAAACACGGCCATCTATATCTATATTAATTACTAGCAAGTAAACCCATGCATTGCATAGATTAAATGGAATTTTGATTAGGTTTGGGTTGACAAATTTGGGTTAATTTGGACATCAGTTCGGTTTCATGTTTAAGGTTAGTATTGGTTTGGTTCTTAACCTGATCCAGTCCATCTAATTTATACCTCTACTTTATTAGAAAGAGCTAAGGGGGTTGAGAGGAGGAAAGGAGGAATTAGTGGAGATAAACATTGGCAATAGGAGATTGTATGAAAAAAAAAAAAAAAATCAACAATAGGAGAGAGTTAATAATCATATTAAAGGGAGTAATGATGAATTTTATTAGAGAAAATTAAGACCTGGTTTTCTTGTTGACTTATTATATTTTAATAATTAAGTTGAAAAAATAACAACATAAGGAGATTACAAATACATAAAAAAGAGGGAGACAAAAGTTCTCTCCTCAATGCTCACACAACCTCCTCATTTCTCACACGTAGTTATTGTTTAAAATAAATTACTAAAATACAATAAGTCACAAACTCTCTCTCTCTCTCTCCCCCC